AAGGATCATAGAGGCTCACAAACTATAGAATGAGCCCAAATGTCCATTGAATGATGAATAATAAAGATGTGGGGCGCCTGGGTAGTTCAGTCAGTTAAGCACCTGACTCTTGATTTTGGCTCAGGTCAGGATCTCAGGGTCGTGAGACTGAGCACTGCATCAGACTATGCACTGGGCATGGAGCCTGCATAAGATTCTCTCTCTCTTCTGGGGCACCTGGGTGGCTCCATTGGTTAAGCATCCAACTCTTGATTTCAGCTCAGGTCATGATCCCAGAGTCCTGGGATCAAGTTCCAAGTCCAGCTTCTGGCTGAGCAGGGGGCCTCCTTGTCTCTCTTTCCCTCTACCCCACCCCCTACTGGCTTTCTCTCTCTCTCTCTCTCTCTCTCTCTCTCTCTCTCTCAAATAAACAAATCTCTAAGAAAAAAAATTCTCTCTGTCCTTCTCCTCAGCCCCTCCAACTTTTTCTCTTTCTTCCTCTCTTAGAAAAAATAAGGTGATGTACACACAAACACACAATGGAATATTACTCGGCCATCAAAAAGCATGAAATCTTGCCATTTGCAACAACATGGATGGAACTAGAAAATGTTATGCTAAGCAAAATAAGTCAGTCAGAGAAAGACAAACATCATATGATTTCATCATATGTGGAATTTAAGAAGCAAAACAGATCAACACAGGGGAAGGGAAAGAAAAAAAGATAAATAGAGAGGCAAACCATAAGAGACTCCTAATCATAGAAAACAAATTGAGGGTTGCTGGAGGGGAGGGGAGGGTGATGAGCTAAATGAGTGATGGGTATTAAAGAGGGCACTTGTTGGGATGAGCACTGGGTGTTACACATGAATGATGAATCACTAAATTCTACTCCTAAAATCAATATTATACTATATGTTAAGTAACTTGAATTTTAAAAAAAATTTTAAAAAGATTTTGTTTATTCATGAAAGACAGAGAGAGAAGCAGAGACACAGGCAGAGGGAGAAGCAGGCTCCCTGGGGGGAGCCCAATGTGGGACTTGATCCCGGGACCCCAGGATCACACCGCACGCCAAAGGCAGATGCCCAACTGCTGAGCCACCCGGGCACCCCATTAACTTGAATTTTAAAAAAAAAAGGTTCATAGAGGACTGAGCCTCTGACCCATTGTCATACTGGGGGGTTAGTGACCAAAATGGAATTGAAGGTTTCCTGAGGCAAGTTCACTGCTGTTTTTTCCCTTCCAGTCTCTGTGACTAAGGTCATTATTTCCCTACTTTAAGCCACTGACTTACAGAGTGATCGTGAGGGGTTTTGTTTTGTTTTGTTTTGTTTTGTTTTGTTTTAGGAACTTCCTGGTAACAATATATGAATTCTTGCCTCAGTTAGGACTTCTGGTTTCAACTAAAACTGGCTCAGGCAAGAAAAAAAAGGGGGGGTGGCGTTTAACGAATAAATTGGTTCAAGTAACTGAAAAGAAGAGGTGGTAGTTCTGATTTTCTGTGTCTTTGGAGTCCAGGTCTCAAATAATGTCACTTAAAATTTGTCTTTCCCATCTTCTGACTTTGCTTTTGATCTGTATTGTCTTTATTCTCAGGCAACTTTTCTCTCTGAGATTTAAAGATGGCTGCTAAGAACTTATTAAACTCAACAGCAAAGAAACAAACAATCCAATCATGAAATGGGCAAAAGACACGAACAGAAATTTCACCGAGGAAGACACAGACATGGCCAACAAGCATATGAGAAAATGCTCCGCGTCACTGGCCATCAGGGAAATACAAATCAAAACCACAATGAGATACCACGTCACACCAGTGAGAATGATGAAAATTAACAGGACAGGAAACAACAAATGTTGGAGAAGATGTGGAGAAAGGGGAAGCCTCTTGCACTGTTGGTGGGAATGTGAACTGGTGCAGCCACTCTGGAAAACTGTGTGGAGGTTCCTCAAAGAGTTAAAAATAAGTCTGCCCTATGACCCAGCAATTGCACTGCTGGGGATTTACCCGAAAGATACACACGCAGTGAAATGCCGGGACACCTGCACCCCGATGTTTCTAGCAGCAATGTCCACAATAGCCAAACTGTGGAAGGAGCCTCGGTGTCCATCGAAAGATGATGGATAAAGAAGATGTGCTCTATGTATACAATGGAATATTCCTCAGCCATTAGAAACGACAAATACCCACCATTTGCTTCGACATGGATGGACCTGGAGGTTATTATGCTGAGTGAAATAAGTCAATTGGAAAAGGACAAACATTATATAGTCTCATTAATTTGGGGAATATAAAAATTAGTGATGGAATAAAGGGAAAGGAGAGAAAATGAGTGAAAATATTAGTGAGGGTGACAAAACATGAGAGATACCTAACTCTGGGAAATGAACAAGGGGTAGTGGAAGGGGAGGTGGGAGGGGGGTTGGGGTGACTGGGTGATGGGCACTGAGGGGGGCACGTGGCAGAATGGGCACTGGGTGTTATGTTATATGTTGGCAAATTGAATTCTAATAAAAAAATTTTTTTAAATAAAATAAAAAATAAAGATGGCTGCTAGCAGCCCCATGCTTACTTCTTACTAGTGAGGCAATTTCTAGGGAGGGAGAAAGCCTCTACTCTACCTTGAAGATTCCAGCAAAAATCCTGGGGCTGCCTCTGACTGGTTTGATTTGGGTCAGGTGTTCATTTTGAACCAATCATTGAGGACAGAGAGAGACAGTTTCCTGATTGGCTAGATATGGATCACATTCCTACTCCCACTTCAGCTGAGGGATGGGGTAAGTCATTAGGAATCAATCTATCTGTATTAGTCATCAAATGCTGGGTAACAAAATACTCTAAAACTATGGCCTAAAACAACAACAATCAATTATCATTTCTCATTGTTTCTGAAGTTCAAGAATCAATTATAGCTTCGAAAAAGAAAGAAAGAAGAAAGAAAAGAAAGAAAGAAAGAAAGAAAGAAAGAAAGAAAGAAAGAAAGAAAGAAAGAAAGAAAGAAGGAATTCAGAAGCAACTTAGTTGTATGGTTCTGGCTTGAGGTCTCCCATGAGGTTGCAGCCAGATGTTGTTTGGGGCTGCAGTGTCTACTTCCAAAGTGGCCCATTCAAACTAATTTTGGTTGTCCACAGGTGATATTAGTTTCTCCTCATATGGGCCTCTCTGTAGGGTTGCTTGAGTGTCCTCACAATATGGCAGCTGGCTTTTCCCAGAGTGAGCAATCCAAGAAACTAAGGCAGAAACTGCAATCCTTTTTGTGACCTGGGCTTCTGTCATACTCTATTGGACACAAAGAATAGCTCTGACTCTGACTCCATGTGGGAAGACTATACAAAGCATGCATTCCCGGAGGTGAAGATCAACAGGGAACATCTGCCTTCCACAGCATCCCATCCTTCCCTGTTTGTTCTGCTTTTCCTATGTGTAGGCTTCATTCTCAGGCAGGCTTTCCCCAACAGTGACAAAGATGGCCATCGACATCTGTAGGCTTGCATTCCTGGTGATACTAGTGAGAAGAAAGTGTCTTTTTCCCAAAAGTTCTGGCCAAAGTCCTAAGCCTGATTCCCACTGGCCAAACATGTATATGCTTATCCCTGAACAATGGCTGTGGTCTAGAGTTACCATGCTCTGATTGGCCAGAACTAGGTCATACCCCCAGCCTTAGAACTGAGGGTAGAGCTAGAAGCACTAGAGATTCAGAGAGGGTGAAAGAGGAATGGTTCCCAAAGGAAAAATCAGGGTGTCCCTACTGAACCAAGGTAAATGGTTTTGGGGCAGGAGAAACAATAATGCCACTTCATGTCCCTCCCTTGTGCTCCAACTGCACATCTCAGTAGTATCTCTTGGTTTGGAATTTTTCTTTTCTTTTTAAGATTTTATTTATTTATTCATGAGAGACACATAGAGAGAAGCAGAGATACAGACAGAGGGAGAAGCAAGCTCCCTGCAAGGAGCCTCATGTGGGACTCGATCCCAGATCCCAGGATCATGCCCTGAGCCAAAGTCAGACATTCAACCACTGAGCTACCCAGGAGTCCCTTGGTTTAGCACTATTCTTGTGGGATCATCTACTTTCTTGGCTCCCTTTCTGTGGTAGCTAGAATTCTAAGATGGCCCCAAGGATCTGTGGTATATGCATACTTTTTCCTAGTTATGCAATCCAACACTAATCTAGATGTTCTATAGAATAATGCTGCAAATGTAATTAAGGTACCAAATAAATTGACATTCAAATGAGATTATCCTTGGTGGGCCTGATCTATTCAAGTGAACCCTTACATGGAATGGGCTTTTTTCTGGCAAAGGAGATTCAAAGTGTGAGAAGGAGTCAACATGGGAGGAGACTCTCTGTTGCTGACTTAGAGGATGGAGGGGGCCACATGGCAAAAGTGCAAGCAGCTTCTAGGAGCTGAGGCCAGGCCCTGGCTGACAGCCTGCAAAGAAACTGGGATCTCAGTCCTACAAATGCAAGAAACTGAATTCTGTCAATGATCTGGATGACCTTGGAAGTAGATTTTGCCCCTAGACCTTCCAGAGAGCTCAGCTGTGATCAGTTTCATGATGCCCTAAGCAGAAAACCCAATCACAGTGCCAGACTTTCGACCTACAGATCTGTGAATAGAAGGGTATTATTTTAAGCTGCAAAGTTTTTGGTTAATTTTAGGCGGCAATAGAAAACGAGTATACTTCCCCATAGACGCTATGATCCCCGAAGTAGGAAGCTTCTCTTGGATCTCCTTAACATCCTCCCAAGAGGACCTGAAACATAAAGTCCCTCTTCCTGCTTCCTGCCCTACTATCTGTGAAAAGGATGAGAAGACCAGCTCCTTATTCTATCCACACACACCAAATCCCAATTCCCTCACCCTTGGGGGCCTAGCAAGGAAGCTGCTCTGCTTGGCTTTCCACAAACAGCCTGTGCCCTGCCAGGCCCAAGAGGGCAGCTTGACCCAATCTCTGCTTCCCAGGACTCGGGGACCTTTGACCAATTCTATTGATCTGGATTCCTGGGCAAGCAGCTGGACTAATAGACAGACGCCATGAGGCTTCTGCTGTTCCTGGGGTCCCTGCTGGGAAGCCTGGAGTCAGTGCTTTTGGTGAGAGCTGTGGGAACAAGGAGAATTGTGCTGGGATGGCCCTGGGAGTCCCTATCACAGCCTTGGCCTCTGATCATGACCTTTTGGTCCAGGTGACTGGGAGGCCTATTTGGAAAGGCAAGAATAACCCATAAGGCCCAGGTGGAGGAGAAAGAGACACCCAGAGCCAGTGGATAGGAGGACATGGTCTTTATTTCCAGAGGAGGGGATCTTGAGGAGACAATGGAAAGAGGAAGGAATGGTCTAGGTCTTTTGAGGAAATTTCTGCATTTCTGAGATGCGAAAGGAAGCTGAGGACTGGCACAGATTCAGAGGCTGGCTATGACTTCCTGGGACAATTCTCTGCCGTCTTCTCTGTAGACTCCACCTTGGAAAGCCCCCAAGGAGCATAATCACAGAGTGGACGAGCACACAGTGGGTAAGTACCCTGGCTGCGCCTCCTAAGAGACCCTTGGGTGGGAATGAGTACTGTGGGGAGTGTGCCGATGGCAGTTTGGGGCTCTTGGAGCGCAGGGAGGGATCCTAGGTATTCTTCACTTTGTCCCCACTTTGGCTGACATTCAGACCAGAGTGTCTACTATGTGTCTGGTCTTGTGCCCATGGGCACTGGGGACCCAGAGTGATGACAAACTGTGTGCTCCTGGAGGGCAGGGCTTGAGCTGTATCTGAGTGCCCAGTCCAGTGCCTTCCAGTCTTCTTTAGTTTCCCTAGCCTCTCTCCTCCCTCCCTCAGTATATCTTACAGGCATCAGTCATGCTACACAGAGGCCATGGCCCTTGATGGACAAGGAAGGATCAGAGCAGGGCTTTGGTGCCTAAATGCCTCTGAATCTTGGCTTCATCACTTATGTGCAGGTGACTCTGGGCAAGTGACTTGACCTCTCCGAGGTTCAGTTGCTCCCAATCATAAATAGTACACCTCTTAGGGTTGTGGAGGAGAAATGAGTTGTTAATCCATGTGAAGCCTTCATCCCACAGATTGCTGCATGGTAAATGATTAAACTATATTAGCTTTTATTTATCAAGCTCCCTTTTAGGTGGAAGATGTCTGCATCCCCCCCACCTCAAATCATGCCGCAGCTCCCCATTGCCTATATTCTTTCAGGCACTCAATATTTGCCTAGAATTGTGACCTAGATGGACCCTGCCCTGGTAAGCCTGGTGTAGTGGGGCCAGACCCAGGACCTCAGCATGGCACTAGGGCCCTCACATCCAACCCTGACTGTCTCTGCCTCCTTTCCTCTTCCTTCTACACCCAGCCAAACTGCTTTCCTCTCTCTTGCCTGAGCCAACCTAGGTGCCCTGCCCTTGTCTCATTACCCACTTGCAGTTGTCCTCCTCTCTGTCCATCCCATTGGCATCTTAAAGGTCCATCTAAGACTCTTCTCTCCTCCTTTATTCCTGTTCTTGGTTTGGCCCTCATCAAGTGCCACTGTGCTTTTAATAACAAAAGAGCAGCTAATGCTTATTGAGCACATTCTATGTGCTAGACTCTGTGTTAAGTATGTGATAGACATTATCTCATATGAGCCTCACAACACCCCTCTGAAGTAGACAGTCAAGTTTTGTCATTCATGGTTGCCATGTGCCTATTAAGTCACCGAGAACACTGAATTACCAAATGCTGAATGGCTGTTCCTAAAGGAAATATCAGGTTAGATTTCTGTGAGCTTGAGTCTCAACATTTTCATCAACTGTCAACATAAAAGCTTGTTTTATGTGTGATTCTGTTTCAAGATACCATACTTAATATACCGTTGCTTCATTAATCCTGAAGCCACACTTCGACATGGATGGAACTGGAGGGTATTATGCTGAGTGAGATAAGTCAATCAGAGAAAGACAATTATCATATGGTTTCACTTATATGTGGAATATATGAAATAGTGAAAGGGACTATAAGGGAAAGGAGGGAAAGTGAGTGGGGAAAAATTATAGAGGAAGACAAACCATGAGAGACACCTAACTCTGGGAAACAAACAAAGGGTTGCAGAAGGGGAGATGGGTGGGAGGTTGGGGTCACTGAGTGACAGGCACTGAGGAAGGCACTTGATGGGATGAGCACTGGGTGCTATACTATATGCTGGCAAATTGAATTTAAATAAAATATTTTTAAAAGAAAAAAGAAAAAAAATACTGAGTCCATGGCCAGCAGCACTATAACTCATGGCTGGACGAAGTTTATCTCACACAGAAATACTCTCTGTGGTACCCATAGTGACCTGCTTATGCTTAGGAACTTCAACACTGTATTTGGGGGCCATTTTCAACAGCAAAAGCATCTACCAGAAGCACAAAATTTCAAAACTGTGGCTCTAAATGACTGTGAAAAGGACACTTCTTTACACTGGAAGAGCTGAAACAAGAAGCAGAGCATTACCTTGTTTCACCTCAGCTGGGAATGCTTCAGGCACCTCAAACTTTTCACCATCCTATGCATGTCCACAAATGACCATATAAACACCTTGAGAATTGGTTAGGGGATTACAAATAAATTTTAGCAAGAAGGCAAATTTGTAAGTATGGCAAATAGAGAGGCTCGACCATACTGTTTTAAAAAATAATAGTAACAATATTTTTATTGTAAAACTTTGGAAATTACAGAAATGCAAGAAGAAATTCCTCCATAATCCACTATCTTCTGACAAACCACTCCTATAAACTTTGGGGCATGTCCTTCTAGACTTCTTTCTGATGCATATGTAAATATATTTGTACAAAAATAGGACCACATTTGACATGCTGTTTTTAACTTGCTCTTCATTTAAATTTATGCTTTCTGTACTATTATATCTGCATCATTAAAAGTGATTTTTTAGGGGCACCTGGGTGGCTCAGTCAGTTAAGCATCTGACTTCAGTTCAGGTCATGATTTCAGAGTTCTGAGATGGAGCCCCGCATCTGGCTGAGCTCTGCTTGTCCCTCTTCCTCTGCTTCTCTCCCATCCCCCACTCTCCCTCTTTCTCTCTCCCCTTCAAATAAATAAAATCTTCAAAAAATAAAAGTTATTTTTATTATGAAATATGCATAATTAAAATTTGCTATCATAATCATTCTTAAGCATACAATTCCATGGTATTAAAGACATTCTATTGTCCTGCAACCATTACCACCCTCCATTTCCAGAACCTTTTTCATCTTGCAAAATTAAAATTCTTCAACTGTATAGTTGACCCTTGAACAAGAAGGTTAGCAGTAGAAAATCCTTGTAGAACTTTTGACTCCCCAAAATTTAACTACTAATAGCCTACTGACCAGAAGCCTTACTGACATTGTAAACAGTCGATTAACACATATTTTGTATGTTAAATGTATTATAAATTGTATTCTTGCAATAAAGTAAGCTAGAGAAAAGAAAATGTTTTTAAGAAAATCATAAGGAAAACACATTTATAGTATTGTACTTATTGGAAAAAAATCCACATATAATCCCCCATAGTGAGTATGGTTCAAACTTGTTTTTCAAAGGTCAACTATACTATGATCATTGCCATTTTACAGGTGAGGAAACTAAGGCTTAGAGTGGCCAAGTGACTTCTACATTCATCTAGTATTTTTTAAGTGCCTACTTTGTGGCAAGCACTCTTCTAGGCCTGGGGGCTGCAAATTTGCCCAAGGTCACACAACTAGTAGGTGGTGAAATCAAGGTCACACAACTAGTAGGGTGGTGAAATCAGGAGTCCACTCCAACTGTCTGACTACAGAACTGAAGCTCTTAAGCAAGAAGCAGTCTTGAAGGCACAGCAATCGTTTCAAGGGTCTATTTTTCAACCAGACTGTGAGGGGTGGTACCTGGGCAGGGGGGCATGGGGCATACCATCAGGGAGTGTGTTATCTCTGCAGTTCTCACTGTCACTGGGGAGCCCTGCTACTTCCCTTTCCAGTACAACCGGCAACTGTACCATAAATGCACCCACAGGGGCCGGCCTGGCCCCCAGCCCTGGTAAGACTCCCCAGAAGGGGTTGGAACAGGGCCCTGGGGGAGATGGATTCTGCCCACTTTCTGCCCAAGGAATCCTTCGTGGAGAGAAGGGGCTCTGTTAGGGAAGGGTGGGCCAGCCCCTTGGGCAGAGCAGGGAAGCTTCATCTCTTTCTACAGGTGTGCTACCACCCCCAACTTCGAGCAGGACCAGCAATGGGCATACTGTCTGGAGTCCAAGAAAGTGAAAGGTGCTACACACAGTCTTTGGGGGTGGTGCAGGGCCCTCTCCTCCCCACTAGTTACTCTCCTGGGTAACATCAGTCCCTACACACCTGGTATTCTGGGCCCACCCAGACCCTTCCTTCCCTCCAGAGGGAAAAGTTCTAGGAAAAGGTAGCCCCATTTTACAGGTGGGTGAAGTAAAACATGGAAACTTGGAATGCCAAGATCACAAGACAAGCAAGGTTTGGGTAGGGACTTGGCCTCCATGAGCCAGGCTGTCTGATTCAGGCTCCCCACTCTTACTTCCACTGTGTCCATCTCTCAGACCACTGCAGCAAACACAGCCCCTGCCAGAAGGGAGGGACCTGTGTGAACATGCCAGATGGCCCACACTGCATCTGTCCAGAACACTTCACTGGGAAGCACTGCCAGAGAGGTAAGGAGATGGTGAAGGCAGGGGAGGAGATGCTGAGGAAACACAGGCCTACTGAAGAGGTCTCTGGATCCCCAGAGACTTGGCATGATCCCAGCCTCTCCTGAGACCCCTGCCCTCACCCCTTTGTCCCCAGAGAAGTGCTTTGAGCCTCAGCTTCTCCAATTCTTCCATGAGAAAGAAATATGGCATAGGCTTGAGCCAGCCGGTGTGGCCAAGTGCGAGTGCAGGGGTCCTGATGTCCACTGCAAGCTGGTGGCCAGCCAGGGTGAGTGGACGGGCGGAGAACTGGCCTGAGTCGGGAAGAGAAGCTGTTAGAACCCCAGGGTAGTGTGTCCAAGGAAAAGGGAGTTCTCTGTGGGGGTCTTTGGGCCCAGAGGTGGCTCAATGCACTCCATCTGCCAGGCTGTCACACCAACCCGTGCCTCAACGGAGGCACTTGCTTCCAGGCGGAGACTCACCGCCTGTGCCGTTGCCCCGCGGGCTACGCTGGACGCTTCTGCGACGTGGGTGAGTCGGCACCCAGAGGAGCGGGAGCTCCGCCCCCAGGGAGGAAGGGCTGAGGAGCGTGGGGAAAGTGGCTGAGAGCGTGGTTCCGGGCTGCAAGGAGTCTCCTCTCTCCCCAGACACTGAGGCGCGCTGCTACCACGGCCGCGGGCTTGACTACCGCGGAGCGGCCGATGCTGCGCTCTCGGGCGCTCGGTGTCAGCGGTGGGCCTCAGAGGCCAGCTACCAGGAAGTGCCTGCAGAGCAAGCGCTCAGCTGGGGGCTGGGCAACCACGCCTTCTGCCGGTGCGCTGGGGGGGGGGGGGCGGCAGGGTGTCCCCCCTGCCCCAGGGCCCTCTGGGGCTACTCGCGCCTTAACGGCTCCCGTTTCAGGAACCCGGACAATGACACCCGCCCTTGGTGCTTCGTGCGGAGCGGCGACCGGCTAAGCTGGGAATACTGCCGCCTGGCGCGATGCCAGGCACCGGACCTGGCGATCCCTCAGATCCTGCCTCCAACCCAAGTCCCCTCTGGCCGTCCGACCCTTCCCGTGCCCTCGCTCTCAGCGCTGCAGAAGCCCCAGCCCCCGACCCCAGGTAGTGGGGAAGGGGCGAGGGGCCAGCGGCTGCGCTGCCCGCTACCTGGCAGCCCCCGGCGGGTCTTCCCCGCGCTCAGCCTGGGCTCCTCCCGCAGCCTCGAGCGCCACGCGGGAGCAGCCCGCGGCCGTGCCCAGTTCGGGCTGCGGACAGAGGCTCCGGAAGCGGCTGTCCTCGCTGAGACGCGTCGTCGGGGGCCTGGTGGCCCTGCCCGGGGCGCACCCCTACATCGCCGCCCTGTACTGGCGCCACAGCTTCTGCGCGGGCAGCCTCATCGCCTCCTGCTGGGTGCTGACGGCGGCTCACTGTCTGCAGAACCGGCGAGTCCCCGCCCGCCCGGCGCCCGCGGGGGACCCCAGCTCCTCTCTCCCGCTCGCCCAGCTACCGCGCGACGCCGAGCCCGCGTCCCACCTCCCGCTCCCTTCCCCGGCGCCCCAGGACGGAGCCGAAACCCAGGGAGGGGCTCGGGGGCAGGAGGCCTGTGGCGGGCTCTGAGCGCGCGCCCCCGCACCCCCCGCCCGCAGGCCGGCGCCGGGGGAGCTGACGGTGGTGCTCGGCCAGGACCGCCATAACCGGAGCTGCGAGCAGTGCCAGACGCTGGCCGTGCGCGCGTACCGCCTGCACGAGTCCTTCTCGCCCGTCACCTACCAGCACGACCTGGGTGCGTGGCGGCGCCCCGCGGCGCCCAGGGGAAAGGGCGGAGGCGGGCTCGGAGTCCCGGCGCCCGGGGCTCACCGTGCTCCCCGCCTGGTTAGCGCTGCTGCGCCTGCAGGAGACGGCGGACGGCCGCTGCGCGCTCCCGTCGCCTTTCGTTCAGCCGGTGTGCCTGCCTAGCGGCGCCGCCCGCCCAGCCGAGGCCGAGGCCGAGGCCGCACTCTGCGAGGTGGCCGGCTGGGGCCACCTATTCGAGGGTAGGCAGAGGGCTGGGGGCGGCAGGGACACCTCTGGCCACCGGGGTAGGCGAGAAAAACCCGCAGTTTGGGCACCACGAGGGACAGGCGGCGCCGACCTTGCGCGTTGGGAGGACTGGCGGGGCCCTCGCAGTCCGCTCCTGCCAGGTCCTGGGCTTCACTGCTGGGGACGGGGATCCAAATCTCCTAAGGGGTCCAGGGGGAATCACACTTTCCCTTGGTTCCTTCTGGGCGCTCTGAAGCAACGGCTAAGGATGCCGGCCTGGCGCTGGAGCAGTCGGCTCGCTAGCTGGGGAGCGTTGTTCCGAGACACTGGGCGCTGGGAGTGGGGAGTGGGGTTCCAAAGCAGTCCTGCTCCGCCCCGCCCATTCAAATCCCCGCTCGTCTCTGTTTTGTCTGTAAAATGGTGTTAAGAGCAACTCTCTTCCTCACCGGCTAAATAGTGGGCGGCAAGCAAAGTCGAGAGGGGTGTGAGGAAAGCGCTCTCGGTTCGTAGGTGCGGGGGAATATTCCAGCTTCCTGCAGGAAGCGCAGGTGCCGCTCATCCCTCCCCAGCGCTGCTCCGCCCCCGAAGTACACGGAGCCTCTTTTATCCCGGGCATGCTCTGCGCTGGCTTCCTCGAGGGCGGCACCGACGCCTGCCAGGTGAGTCCGTGGGCCGCCTTGGCGCCCTCCACCCGGTCAAGTGCAGACCCCAAACCAAGTGCGCTGAGCCACGTGTCCCCGACCCAGGGTGACTCCGGGGGCCCACTAGTGTGTGAGGAAGAGGCCTCAGAGCGCCAGCTCATCCTGCGAGGTATCATCAGCTGGGGTTCAGGTTGTGGCGACCGCTACAAGCCAGGTGTGTACACCGACGTGGCCAGCTATGTGACCTGGATCCAGGAGCATACCAATTCCTGACCGTCTCGGGACTTCTCCTTCCCTCCTGGGCAATTCTGGAATGGGAAGGTGGCTGGCCTATGATTACGGATGGCAAGGAATGTGTTTCATTCCTCTTAGCACCGTCACTGTGGCAGGCATGGAGTAGGCACTCAATAAAGTGCTTTAAAAATGCTTGAGAGGCACAGCTCTTCAGGGGGCCCCATGGAAAATGCCAAGACAGTAAACTGCTGCAGTTCTCCACACCTCTCAGGGAACAGAATCTATTGAGGTCTTAAGCAAAATATAGAGATTCATGTCCAGTTAATATTTACTGAGCTGTTCTGTGTACCAAGCCCTGAGCAAGGTGACTCCATAAATCATTCCTTGTATGAAACTATCTTAACATTTGAAGTTTGTAGAACAGAGGCTCTCAACCTCTGCTGCACACCAGAATCATCTGGGGAGCTTTTTTGAACCTATGCCTGAGAACTACCTCAGATCAATTAAATCAGTTATCTCTGACGGGGGTGTTGGTAGTAGTATGTTTTTATAACTATCCAGGTGATTCCATGTTCAGCGGAGGCTGAGAACCATGGTCAGAAATGCTTAATATTACAACAGTGGTGTGGACTCAGAGCTGGCAATGTGGAAGATGACTCCCCCCAACTTGCAGTAGGGCAGTGGGGCTCAAAGTGTGCTGGACCACCAGCAGCAGCCTCAGCGGGGAACTTGTTAGAAATGCATATTCTCCAGCTACCTCCTGTACTACTGAATCAGAAACTCTGAGTTGGAACCCAGCAATCTGTTTAACAGATTTCCAGGAAATTCTGATGTTCCTAACATTGAACCAAACTGGGGATTCTGGGGGTTGAATGGTTACCAGGCCAAAAGGTCTGGCTGTCCAGACTTGCTCTCTTTCATTTTGTTCTTTTTTTTTTTTTTAAGGTTTCATATATTTATTCTTGAGAGACACAGAGAGACAGAGGCAGAGACAGAGGCAGAGGGAGAAGCAGGCTCCATGCAGGGAGTCCAATGTAGGGCTCGATCCTGGAACCGTGGGATCACAACCTGAGCCAAAGGCAGACACTCAACCACTGAACCACACAGGCATCCCTCTTTCATTTTGTTCTAAAACCCACGAGTACACTGTGCTTGGTGAGCCATTTAAGTTGGTTTTTCAAGGGTTATATAGACTTAACACGATTTCCTCTTTTAGGCTAAACTTACAACTTCACCAGGCCTCAGAACCTCTTTCCCTCACCCCACATATACATTCTCCAGTGTACATAGCCTCTCTGTGACATCATCATGCCTCAATATCACAACCCCGACCCCACGTGCGTCACAGTGTCTCGGGTTCCAGGCACATGGCACAGCTGGATATCCCTTGAACGTGCAAGGCGAGGGACGCACTCTGAGCCAGAATGGGAGACTGGAAAGGCTATATCAGCGCAGTGCTCCGGGACCAGCGTATTGACGACGTGGCCATCGTGGGCCACTCGGACAATCGCTGCGTGTGGGCATCACGCCCCGGCGGCCTTCTGGCTGCCATATCCCCGCAGGAGGTGGGTGTGCTCACAGGGCCCGACCGCCGCACTTTCCTGCAGGCAGGTCTGAGCATTGCAGGCCGCCGCTGCTGCGTCCTCCGTGACCACTTGCTGTCTGAGGGCGATGGCGTTCTGGACGCACGCACTAAGGGGCTGGATGGGCGCGCCATCTGCGTAGGCCACACCCCGCGCGTGCTCCTCGTGCTTATGGGCCGTCGTGGCGCGCACGGCGGCATCCTCAATAAGACAGCGCATGAATTGATCAACGGGCTCCGTACGCAGGGCACCTAGCAGGACAGCTAACCTGCCCTCGCAGCTGGGCCAAAATAAACAGCTGGGCGTGGCTGGTTCATCCTCTGTTTGTGAGCATGCAGGGCAGTTGCAGATGAGGAAACCAGTTTCCTGGAACATTCTTACAGAGGGGTTACCTAATGGGGCTGGGATTCTGAGCCCAAAGGCTTCCCGGCCTCCTGGCCCTCTTTCCATGAGTGCCCTCCAGAGGCCTCTGGCCTGACTTCCCAGAGTCCTTTCCCAAAAACTTTCCATACTTCCAAGACACACTCTAAAGGGAGCCCCTCCCACACCCCTTCCCAGGTGCATCCCAGCTAGACCCAATGGGGTCAGGGAGTCAGGCTGGAGATCAGTGTACTTCTCACCCCCTCTACTTGGCAGTAGGAAGCCTTTGCAAGTGTTGTGAGTGGGTGAGGGAACAGGGCTGGTAGCTTGGAGAGCAGCTCTGGGGTCCCCTCCCAGGTTCTTGCATCTCCTCCCACATAATCCAACAAGAGTGGAAAGAGAGCACAAGTCCAAGACCATCACAATGAGGTCTGGGACCCTAGAGCCTTCTTTCCCTCTTGGGGTCCAAAGGCCCCAGAGGACTCCCTGGACTGCAAGGAAGAACTTAGGTATCCCCCACCCCTTGATCATCACACTGTAGGCTTTAGCTCCAGGGGCCTTATGGAAAAGGAGGAATTGAAAAGTTTGGATGGATTAAGGGAGGCTTGATTATTGCTCAAAGATAAAGGACAAAGGTGGGAGGGAAGATGGCTTGTCCCCACCCACTCTGTGCTGGGGCCCAGGGCCTAGCCTCTCTTGCCCATCTTCACCTTCCCTGTTCCCTCCCTCTGTGTCTCCCAACAAAGCCCTCACCTGTCATTTGTTTGCTGGAACTTGTTCTTATCCCAGAAAGGGGGAGGAAGTAAGGTGGGTGAGTCTAGAGGCAGGGAGAGACCAGAAGTCAGCTGGGTGGGGTGGGTGGGGATGGTGCAGAGAGCCTTTCTTATATTTGCCTTGGGGGTGGTCCCAGGCCCTAGGAGGGACTCCCAGGAAGTCTGAATCAGAGGTTGGACTCATTAAGGCAGGGTTAGGAGGATTATTGGGGTGGCTTGCAGGAAATAGTGCTGCTGAACCCCAAAGCCATGGTCTTGCCCCCTCCCCAGATGGAGAGCAGACAGATTTTTAAATGCAAATGAGAATTTAATTCCTTTTTCATCACGAAGTATTGGGAAAGGGAGTTGTAGCGGTGCTGCAGAACAACTGGGTGAGGATGAGCAGGATGGTATCATGGAGGAAGGAAGGTGACAGGGAGGGGTGAGAACTCAGCCAGTGACTCAGGCACCCACATCTATGCACAAGCAAACAGCTGCAAGTCATGTCCTCAGACACACCCTTACTCCTGCTGCACCGAGTTGGACTTGCGTGTACAGGAAAACCAAACACAGGCCTCTGAACTAGATCTTCTTGTGGGCAAAGGACTCAAAAATTTCACCAGGTGCCCCATAGCCTGCACACAGCCCCCCACAGGTGCTTTAGTACACACATGCAAGATGACACACAGTCTCACTTGAACACGCCCACACACGCATACACACTGACTCTCAGTCACACAAGCTCAGACCTCTGAAGAGCTGCACAAGGACAGGCCCATGCCCAGAGTGCACAGACACACCACTTTGCCCTTCTACAGTGGCACCAAGCACAGGCCCTTCCCCGGCCCCTGGGGTAGTTTTGGGCTGCAGGCTAGAGGCGGGTGGCATTGTGTCGAGCAGGCAGTGCCAGGTGGGGGGAGGGTGTGGCAGGGGGCATCTCCTCCAGGAAGACCCTGGCAGGCAGCGGTGGGGAGCGAGGCTCGGGCCTGGCACAGCACAAAGTGGCACGTGTGATGAGGCGGTCCAGAGGCTGCAGGGAGTGCATCCAGCGGGGCAGGAAGTCCCATGTCTGCAGCCACTTGGGCAGGTGTCTGGGGCTGCGATTCTGCAGGACACTGATGAGCACCACAAAGGCCAGCAGAGCCCCAAATGGTGTGCCCACACCCACCATGGCCTGCCAGCCTGCCATGGAGATGCCAAACACCAGCGAGGGCAGCAGCAGGAAGCACAGGAGGAGGTAGAGGACAGCAAACCAGCGGTATTTAGCAGTGCGTTTACCCAGCGCCTTGGCCATGCGGATAGGCAGGCGTGTGCAGGGCACCGGGTACCACAGCAGGATGCCCGAGATGTTGAAGAAGAAATGGCAGAGGGCAATCTGTAGAGGAGAGGGCAGAGGGGCTGAGGTGGGCATGGGCCCCGACTCCCCATCATGCCAGTAGGGATAGATAATAGGAGTCAGGCCTGGCCTGGGCAGCAAGAAAGTCAGGGCTGATGGGTTCCTAGTAAAATATTGAGACACTTTTGAACCAGGTGATAAATGCTGCCCTAACTCTACACATTTTCCCCACTGATCTGTCTCACAAATTCCCCAGCAGACTGTACCCAAACCCAGCAACAAAAAGATGCATACTAGTTTCTGGCTCACAAGCTCTGGCCTCCTGATTGGTTTGAGCCCTAGTCCCAGCCCCAGCCCCAGGCCCAGGCTTGTCATTGCTCCATTGCTCCTAGAACAGCTGCCCCTTTGCCATCTGGACCCCTGCTTGTCCTTGACCCCTGAGAATGGGCCGGCCCCCCTCTGGTTGCACCCCTTCCTGAGTGCAAATCCCACCTGCTGCTGTTTGTGTGATTATTTGATTAACTTTTACCTGTGAGATGCTAAGGCCTTGGAGGTGGCACCAGGTCTACTTTGCACCGTGTGGTGTCCACAGAGCCTGGCATAGTGGGTGGCCCCTAGTGGGCAGTCAAAAACCTTGTTCCATGGTGTCCCACCCTGGGTCTGGTGCCACCGTGCCTCAGTCACAGCCCTGTCTTGCCCTGGGCAGGCTCCCAGGCGCACCTGGACAGCACTAGACAGCTTCTCCCTGGGACTGGCCAGTGCGGCCAAGATGGCGGTGGTGGTAGTGCCGATGTTGGAGCCCAGTGTGAGGGGGTAGGCCCGCTCGATGCTGATCACACCCAGGCCTGGGGGCAGACAGAGAGGATAGGTTCTCCCCAGGTCCTTCCTTTAGCCTTCCCTGCCAGCCTGCCCCGCCCCCACCTTGCCATGGTCACTCACCAATAAGTGGGGTGATGGCTGAAGTGAACACAGAACTGCTCTGGACAATGAAGGTCATGCCGGCGCCCACCACCATGGCAAAGTAGCCTGTGGCCCAGGTGAAGGGGGCGGGGAAGTCTACAAGGACACCCCCGTCCCAGTAGGGTCAGTAGGAGGACTTTGGGAGGGTAGCCAGGACCTCCCTTATGGAGGAGGTATTGGACGCTGGCTTCTGAGCAGGGCCTTGCCAGTTCAGTCCCCTGCTCAACTGCAGTGGCTTCTACTCTGCCCTCCTTGATCTTGGATTAAAGGCTCTTCTCAGCCTGGTTCCATTACTATTGCTTGGTAATATTTCCTCTGCCCGGGATATCCATTTCGCTTCTAAATGTTCATCCTCAGGGCTCAGTGCAGATATCATGTGCTACAAAGCCCTCCTGGACCTTGGCCCTCTGGCAGACAGGGCCCTCCTGTCCCTAAGCTTCCAGAGATCCATAAATGCACCTGACTCCAGCATTTGTTACACAGCCCTGCCAGTGCCAGGCCCTGTCCCCAAAGCCTGAAATGAAGCTTAAAATGAAAATCAGATGGTGTCACTCCCCTGCCCCAACCCTTCAAGTATAAAGTCATCCGTATAAAGTCCAGGCTCTGAGCACAGCTTGGGGGGTGGGGGGTGCACGATCTGCTCCTCCCTGTTACCTTGCTGACTCCTCCCTGCCTCACTCACTGAGCTCCCACCACACTGCTGGCCACCTTTCTGCCCAGCTGGTTCCTGCGTTTGTGCCTTTGCACTTGCTGTTCCCTCCACACAGAACACTTTTCAGCCACCTCCGATTACTACTACTCATTTTAGCCTCACAGAGGCTGCTGAAAGCCCATTGAAGGAAGCTTCTTCCATATTCTCTGTCATTTTTGCTTTCTCCTTGGTCACTCCTCTCTTTATCTGAATGTATCCCCCCTTGATCATTTATCTTTCATTGTATGTCCATCTCCTTCTCTGGGCTGTGAATCCCCTGAGGGTAGGATCCATCTCTGCGGCTCACCTCTGTATCCCTGGCACTAGATCATGCTTGAGCACATGGGTTTAATGAGTATTTGTTGAATAAATCAGTGGCCTCTGAGAATCTGTTTAGAGCCACCTACTAGAATGGAACCACAGCCAGAGGCAGTCACAGATCCCCAGCTGCCAGCACCTCAGGAGCCTCATAACCTACCCAGCCCAACCTCTTCTTTGTTTGCAGGGAGAAACTGAGGCTCAGAGATGGCAGGGCTTTACCCAGATCACACTTACCCTTGCTTTACCCAGCAAGGCAGTGGTGGGACTTAAGATTTGGAAGGGTCCATCCTGGGGCCCACACACCCAGTTCTTGGGGCTCACCAGTGTTGATAACCTTCTGAATGACCTTAGCCACCTGGCCCTTAAGCAGAGAATTGAGCATCTTGACAAGGAGGATGAGGCAAGTGCACAGGACCATCAGGGAGCTGGCCAGCAGAATGAGCCCCACAGCCAAGTCAGGCAGCCATGTGTCCACGAAGATGTGGTTGCCTAGCAGGGAGAAGTGTCAAGCTGCTGAAAGCTGAACCCCCCCACAGCTAGTATCCCAGTCCCCTGCCTTTGCTGCCCTCTCAGGATTGGAGCTTAAGGACCCACCTCAGGCTCCCTCAGCCTCAACAACAGGGCCTAATCCAAACCCAGGAGCTGAGCTGGTAGACAGCTGGCTTTCCTGGGACTGGTAGCAGCAGTAGCCAGGAGAGGGATAGCCCTTTCTCTGCCCAGCTCTGCCCCCACCATGCCAGACATCTCCCATGATGCAGGCACTCACATTTCTCCATGGAGGCATTTCCAGGCATCCTGCTGATGTTCGCCTCTGCCCTGGGCATAAGGGTCGGAACCTAAATGAAGAGGAGAGTGACTTAGAATATAGGAAAATGTAGCCTGGGGTTGGGGATAAGATGGGAATTAGGGAGAGGTAGGGTGTAGGATGGAGGTGGGCCTCCTGGCTCCATGCTTGTGGATAGTTTGCTTGTACTCTGAGCCTGTCTCCTCTGCTAGAGAGATGGGGATGGAAATGCCTGCTGCAGAAGAATCTGGCCGTGGTCAGCCCTCTGAACACTCTGTCCTATCAGTCTGCTGATCTGGACCTCACTGTGACCTACAGAGGTATCCTGATCCTGTGGCTTCTGACCATGTCCCTCCTTCCAAATACCCTCCCTTGCCCATTCTTTATTTACCAGTCCCTCTCTTGGTGCCCCCCCCCCCCGCTTCCCCAGCATCTGTGCCCCATCTTCTCACCTGAGGCACCATTAGCCCAGACTTCATTGTCCTCTTGCTCAAATCTTTATAGGGGGAGGTTGGGTACAGGAGGTGGGGGAACCACTCGTCTTCAGCCCTCACCTACTGTCAGTAAAGTGAGGGGGGCTCCTGGAGAGGCCCTCCTGTTCAGAGGGCGCAGGACTAGGCAGGTAGCTTATAGGGGCAGTAGCCACTCAGCTCTAGGCCACTGTCACCATCCAGGGACAAGCCAGCATGGCCAAATGGCCCGATTCTACAAGAGAAACCCCATATTTTCCAATTATGTGAGGGCCAGTTTGTTCTGGACCACTAATTTGCAGCCTCATTGGATCGAGGAATTATTTTTTCTCAAGTGCAACTGGGGTGCTTATCTTTCCCTTAGGATCCCAGCCTTGAAAGGAAAAATTGGGCTGGGCTTGGATGAGCAGAAACCGTTTCCCCGAGGAGGAACTGAGCCCCAGTGAGGGGCAGTTACTCCCAGGGCCATAGGCAAAACACAAGAGCCACAACGTTTCCTTATTCACATTCTGCCTTCTCTGGAGGCTGATTTAGGCCCTGGTCCCAGGAAGTTCTGCATCCCACACCCCCAGACCTCCCTTGTGCTGAGGGTAGTGTCTCAGGCAGGGCACTGGCACTTCAATGTCACAGCTCCTTTAGGGTTTATTCCAAACTGTGTCATTTATAAAATGTATGATAGAGATAAGAACTATTTCTGGTGCCTGGCTTTAAATCTGGTTTATTTTAGTGACATGTGCTGCTGTGAGTGGGGCACTGTACCCCAATGTGTTCCAGCTGTCCATACCAGCAGTCCTGTTTTTTATACCAACATCCTGGAGCAAGTCATGCCACCTCTCTGAGCCTGTTTAAAGCAGGATGACATAAGAGCTGTTATAAACAATTACAGGAGAAAATGTGTGTGAAGTGCTCTCCAAAGGCTTATCTCATGATAAGTCTTCCGTAAGATACTGTGCCTCCTGATAAGGATTAGACCCCCCTTTGTCCCTGAGCCTATCTAGGCTTACACAGTGGGAAGGGTGTGTGCGTAGGTGTTTGTGTGAGATTGACTTCCTAGGTCAGGATCAATGGCTCCTGCAGGTGTGCCTGAGGATCCTGGCTCTAGTGGGAAAGACCTTGGTGGACCAGCCCGGAGCCCTGGGAGGCATATGATCCCTGAGATGAACGGCTGCCTGACCAGCCTGTGCCCCTGACCTGGCTGGGCCGGCCCACGGTTTCTTAAGGGAGGATGTTCACAGCTGGAAGGGGAGGGTCCCACTGGGGGCTGGCTGCCTAAGGGCAGGCCAAGGCTGAGGGCTCAGGCCTCTTGACCTTCCTGCCTGGGGTTGCGGGGCTCTGGCAGAGCTCCCACAGTGGGGGAAGTGGGGGAAGGCGGGGACAGCATAGAACCTGTGACGTGCAAGAGAGGAGTGGTGGTGGGGATGTCGGAAGGTAGGCAGGCTGGACCTGCACGGTCAGGCGGTCAGGCAGGGGGTGGGTACTGAGTGAGGGGAGGGAGCAGGCCCACACCTTCCTTGTCAGGAATGTGGGAGCTCTAGCCTAGAGAAATAACTGGACCGCCCAGGGTCTGGGACATACCCTGTAGACACACCCATCCTTCCTGGGCCAGGGGTGTGTGGTGGGGTGCTGATTTCTGTGGGAAGAACAGAATAAATGAACCCCAGGAGCCCTAAGCTGAAACCCCTGCTGCACCTTTCCCAGCTGTGTGATACTGCACCAAACACTTAACCTCTCTGGGCCTTAATTTCCTTCCCTACAGCAGGAGTTCTAATGCTGCCAACCTCTTCCCAGGGGCTAGTTTTGAGGAATCTTGGAAGAGAGGATTTAAGTGCCTGTAGGAACATCCAAATTAATGAGGCATCTCTGGAAACTGAAGGCCAGAATTAAGCTCACAGGCTCTGAGAATCCTTTCCCTGGGGAGAAACAGACAGGATGTGTGGCTTGTGCTGTGCTGTGTGTAGTTCAGCCTGCAAGGTAAAGGGAGCTCCAGGGTCTTTCTTTTTCTCCACACAGAAATCACTGTGCCAGCAGCGCCGTCTGGTGGCAAAGAGGAGAACTCCCTCTTAGAGCACTACCTGCCACTCTGGAGCAGTCTGGGAGTGGTTGTGGTCACCCATGGCATTCAGGCCCGATAGGAAGAGTGGAGAATGGACATATATGGTGGATTACCACACTGGCTTCTGGAAGAGGCAGCAAGATGGGGATTCAGAAGTATGGGCTCCAGATTACACCAGGATTTTCATCTTACCTCAATGGTATGGACTTGGGTAAGCCTCTCTGAGCCTCAATTTCCTTAACTGTAAAATGGGCAAGTGATAAATCCTGTTTTCCCCCTTTGCAGGTCCTCAAAGGATGCTTGTTTAAACCATTGTCTCTGGAGGGGCACCTGGGTGGCTCAGTTGGTTGAGTGTCTGCCTTCAGCTCAGGTCATGATCCCAGGGTCCTTGGATTGAGCCCCAAGTCGGGGCTCCCTGCTCAGCAGGGAGACTGCTTAACCCCACCCCCTCTCCCCCTGCTCGTTCTCTCTCTCTCTCTCTCTCAAATAAAATCTTAAAAAAAAATTAAGAAAAAATTGCAATTGCCTGTGGATTTTCTTCCACTATTTGAAAACCCTCAGATTCCCAACACTGTCTCTGATGACTTGGTTTAGGTGAGGTTGGGTCCAGTCTGGTGAAAGTTGGAGGCCACAAGGACAGGTTGGAAGGGAGACTGGGTGGCCAAAGGGAAATTAGGAGTCTGGTGTGGGAGGAGCTACCAGCACACGTAGTGAGAGCAAGCACAGGGCAGCAGAGCCCTGTTCCCCTGATCTGACCTAGAGGGGCGGGTGAGAACAGGGAGCTTGTATGCCACCCCCTCCCCCGCAGCTACTGTCCAAGCCAAGGAAATCCCAAGTGGATACTGCTCTCGAGGAGAGGCTCTTCCCAGAGAGCTGGGATGCGAGACCACTACTCAGGCAGGTGGCGTCTGCGACAGTGAGGACAGCCCCCGCCACGTGAACTTGGCTGGCTTACTTCACACCACGAGGCCCTGGGTTCCTCTTGTGGAAGACAGGATACTCAAGTCCACCTTGCCAGCGTTTTGCGTGGATCCCATCAGGGGAGGGCTACATCCGGGGCACATGTGAGGGGATACCTGCCCAAGGCAGCTGGGGCAGGGGCAGGGCTTTCAGAGCGAGGGAGGTACTCCACAGCTGAGGAGCTCCCTCCTGTGGCTGGTTTTCTGTGAAGACCAAACCCTGTGATTTCTGTGTTATCCAGGTTCTGCTATTAAGTGAAAAGGATTTGGTCAATTCAGAAAGCTCAGAGAGTGCCCAGGGGACTGGTGAGAAGGTGGCACTGTGTTGGAGGGGTCAGAAAGCCAGCCCAACAGCTGCCCACATGGACTTTTGATGTCAAACTGCCTTGAACACTCAGAAGTGCCGAACCAAAGCTGCACACTGCTCAGACACAAAGGTACCACAGAGGGCAGGTTGAAAGGATGCTCTCTGTTCAAGCTGGGATAGCTGGGATAAAGGGCCATCAGGTAACAGGAAGGATGAGGGGGCCACCTGCGTGGAGCCTTGGGCTTTGGGTTTCCTTCTATCTTGTTCTAAGTGGAGTTGCTTCTTATATGTGACAATTAAGAAGCAAATACTGTGGATTACAGTTTTGATGAAGCACTTCCATTTTCGTGGCTGAGTGAGAAAGTATGCTGATTGCCTGCTTTCTTGTGAGCTTAGTGTCATGGCAGGTCCACAGGTGTCCAACTGATCCAAACAGATCTTCATTCTGGGCAGTAGACATGGTGCAGAAGGACACTTCTGTGGCAGTCTCTGGGGAAGGGGCCCCAACATCAGTACAAGTAGCTGTTGTGTTTCCACTGAGGTTTCCATGTGGCCCACTTGTCTCGTCCCCGTTTTTCTAGCTTTCCCAGGCATCCTTGTAACCCCCTCACTACCCCCTCCCTGTCTGGGCCCCAATACGTGGCACAGCTGAATCACTACTCCCCCTGGCACCCTAGTGGGGAGAAGAGAGTCCTAGACTGCTACACCTGTACTCAGGGCCCTGAAATGGCTGGACAAGCTCCAGTAAGTGTCTTAGCCTCTAGGAGCCTATTCTTTACCTGTGAAACCAGCAGGATGAACCAGATCAGTGATTCTCAAACTTGAGCATGGAGCAGACCTAGAGGACTTATTGCAACATAGGGTACTGCGTCCCACCTCACCCCCAAGTTTTTTCTAATATGTTTTCCCTGGACCTACTAAGGTCTTGGGAAGGGCTGAATAGCCTGTAGCTCTAATAGGTTCCCAGTGGTACAGGTGCTGCCGGGCCACACTTTGAGAACCATGGGGCTAGATTGAGTTGATTGGTAATAGCTGCCTAAAGCCGCTGTGAGACTGGAAGGGACTGGACAGGACTACTTGTGGCCAGACCTGAGACTCACCCCCATGGGGTCTGGGTGGCACCAGATCCGGATGAGACTGTGGTTTCTCAGGGACTCGTCACCAGTGGCAATGCTGGTAATCACAGACTTGTCCAACTGTGGGCAAGATGAGGGTGGGGGGAGTGAGAGAGGGGTCCTTACTATCCCCCAGCCCCCACCCCATGCCCCATGCCCACCTTGCCCCCACCTGGATGATGAGCTTGGTAAAGGGCTCTGTGATGATCTTGAGCAGATCAGGGGCATCGCGGCCGCCATGAATGTTGAAAGAGGCAACCACCAGCCCAGTAACATGGTGCAGGTACCCAGTGGCAGCCTCCAGGGGCAGCAGGACCAGAACTGACAGCCAGTTAAAGCAATCATGCACTGTGGCCCCTGCAAAGGCCCTGGGTGGGGAGGCCACATTGCAGGACAGGCCAGAGCCAGGATGCACTTATACCAGGGGCTCCTGGCATCTGGAACCACCCTTCCCCGACAAACACAGGCCCCTCACCACTCTACCCCCTCACCGCCTGAAGTCAGTCCGATCCCCCGCCTGCATCAATGCCACAATGGTATTGGTGACAGAGGTGCCGATGTTGGAGCCCATGATGATGGGGATAGCAGAGCTCACTTCCAGCACTAGCAGAAGAGAGGACCTCTTACATAACTGTGTGAGGGCCTCCTAGCTCCTGCCCCCACATCTCCCTCCAGCTCGCTGCCCACGTCCTGGCCTCCACTGGGCAGTCCTGCCATGATGTTGCCCAGCCTTGATGTCACAGGTACATGTGAGTATACATGATACATATGCGTGCATGTGAATGGATACACTGCATGTGCACATATATGTATATGAGGCACGGGTCCTGTACGCAAATGCAAATCTGTGCTTGTGTGTGCATGCATCCAAAGTGTGATGGTTAGTTTCATGCATCAGCTTAGCTAGGCTGTAGCACTCATTCAGTCCAACACTGGCCTAGATATTGCTGTGAAGGTATTCTGCAGGTGTGATTCACCTCTACAGCCAGTTGAGTTTAAGTAAAGGGGATTATTCTTGATATCTGAGTGGGCCTTATCTGGTGAGATAAAAGGCCTTAAGAGCAAAACTGAGGCTATCCGGCCTTGGCTTCACCTCATAGTTTCAGCCTGCCCTTCCCAACAACCTCTGCTACAGATTTTAGATTTGCTTAGCCAGCCCCACAATTGTATAAACCAATTCCTTGCAATAAATCATATGTATATCTCCAGTAGGTTCTGTTTCCCTGACTGACGGAAGAAAGGACTATGTGGTGATAGGGAGCTGAGCCTTCCTGGGTCTGGACTCCCCATTTGCCACCCTTCCTAAATCTTGAGGTACTTCTCCTGGCCAAGATTCCCAGCCATGCCTTGGAAAATGGAGTGGGAGATGCTGGAGTCCTGCCCCTTGCCCTTAGCTCCCTGGCCCCACTTCTTTTCCTGGCCCCCAGCTCTGATGCACCACCTCAGCTCCCATCCAGCACACTCACCCCCCCCACACTCTTTCCCTAGCCCTGGTGGGCCAACTTACAGCCAGAAGAGACCATGCTGACAATGATGGACGTGGAGGTGCTGGAGCTCTGCACCAGCACCGTCACCAGGATCCCTACCACCAGCCCCGCTACTGGGTTGGACAGGATAGCGTTGTCCTTGAAGATGTCACCAGCCACCTTCCCTGAGGAGTATTAGCCAGCATTGCCTGATGCCCTTCAGGAACCCTGTCCCGGTCCCCTCCTCTGGTCCTACCTCCAGCCAGTTGGAAGGCAGAGCTGAGCACGTCCAAGGAGCAGACGAAGAGGTACAAAAAGGCGAGCATCAGTGGCACCTTGAGGAATGTCATGCCAACCTGGCGCAGCTTCTGGACCAGGCCCAGCTCTGGAGATGAGCCAGTTGTGAGCAAAGGGGCCAGGGGCTAAGGCATCAATTGCTGACATCCTTGCTGTCCACCCCTGCCCAGGCCCACCTGGCTTTTGGTCCTCCTCCAGGGCCAGCTTGGCAGGCAGGGGGTCATGGCACTCCAGAACCTCTCCGTAGGGGCAGCCATGCTCAGGAAGGGCCACAGGGCCCAGGCTGGGGAAGGCGTAGGCGGAGGTCCCTGGGATCCTATGCAGGACTGGGGAGGGAGGCTGATAAGGAGTTCCCAGAAGCCCTGGGATAGGCAGGGTCAAGGTCGTGCTGGGCAGGGAGGGGGTGGAGACCTCACGGGGGCTGGTAGCAACTGTGGGCACTCAGGGTCCAAGGATGGGAGCAGCACTCACCCTGAGGGCTGGGCACATAGGCAAAGGCTGTCCCATGTATCACGTGTCCGCCTCGGACTCGGTGTGGGGAGACAGCTGGGCCCCCCAGCCTTTCTCCATAGGACATCATCTTGGGTGCACGCGTGGAGCTGCAGTAACACTGAATGACAACTGCTGCGTCCTGGGAACCGACCCATGCTCACACGCCCCTGTCCACATCCACATCCACACCCACATACTCACATGCACAAATACCCATGGTGTGCGATCCCTAACGCACATCCTCCACCCTCACATGTACCAGAGATGCACATTCAGGTACTCATCCCAGATTCATGTATTCATTTGTTCAACAAGTATTTGTTGAAAAAAAAAAGTATTTGTTGAGTATCAACTCTATCCTAGGCACTGAGCTAGATGCTAGAGTACAATGATGACTCAATACAAGGACAACCCCTGCTCTCAGGAAGCTCCAAGTCTTGCAGGGAGACAGATGCCAATGAAGTAACCCCTCACATAGAAAGTGGCAATGGGAACAAGGGTTCTAATGACAGATACAGGTGCCACCAGAGTGCCCCATGGAGGGGGTGGAGGGCAGAGATGACTGAGATGAACATGAGTAGGAGTCTCCTGATGGCGAGGGAGAAGGGCATGTGTGCAGCGGCCTCAGGAGGGAAAGGAGCTGTGAGTGCCCTGCAGCCAGAGGGGGCCAGGGAACATGTGTCAGCAGAGCTTGCAGATGTGGGCCAAGGCTATGTGTGTGGGAGGAGTTCTGATCATCCTGAGAGCAGAGAAGAGCCATGGACACCTGCTTGCTCATGGGACCTGCTGGATGTGCACTCGGGAGAGTCCACTGGCCTGGATCTCAGGTTTGGGAGTTCCCTTCGCAAACAAACTTCTTTCCCCCACCTGCCTCTCTCCCTCACAGCAATAAACAAAAACCAATGTCCTTTCTCCCATGAATGACTTTCAGACCAGGACCGGTTTAGGTAAGGAGTTTTCCCCATGCCCGCCCCAATCTGAGAAGCCCTTGGCATGCTTTAGAGCCCCCTGAACTGCCTCAGGAGTTCTTGGTGGTTGGGGTGGGCATACCCAGTCTATATCAGCAGCCCGTACCCCCACACCCCTATGTTGTCTCAAGGGCCCTTGGCTATTTGGTGGAATTGCAGGAAGCTGGAAGAGAAGTGTATGAGTTCTTTCCTTTGCGGGGGTTAAGCCAGGTTGGACTGGGACTGAGATGTTATGGGTGCAGGAAGGGGAAGCACAGTTAGGGCAGAGGTGAGGGAGCAAGACCGATAGACTATTTCCTTCTAAGACTTAGGGATGGGTTTGGGAGTGGGGAGCCCTAGGCTTACCTTGGGATTCTGTGTTTCAGCTCCTGCTCAGCTACTTAAGGAAGCCCCAGGGGCCTGAGGAAGAGCTGGGACCCTCCTCTTTATATCCTTGGGTCAAGGGCAAAGTCCCAAAACCCTAGCTGCCCTCTCTCTGTTCCCCGATTAACCTCACCCCTGAGATTCCTCCCGGTTAATTACTAATCGTCAGCTCTGCCTTGGGAGTCTGTGGTCAGGCTTTCCCTTTCCCCATGCAGAAACTCAGTCTGAAAGAGACCGAAGCCAGCTAGGGCACAGACACATTTGCCTTCAGGCAAAGACCCTTATGCTACTTAGGCACTTTATTCCCAGGGTCCCCAAAAAAATTTCATGGCTCCAGCCCCTTCTCCTCATTCTCGGTCTGACAGGACTCTTGTCTTGCCACACACCTGGATGTCCGTGGATCTGTCTGTGGGTCTTAGGAGCACTTGGAAGAGAGGGAGCATGTGATGGAAAGAGTAATAGAGAAATCTGGGAAGGCTCCATAGTGTTGAGTCAGGGAGGGTCTCCAGTGTGTAACCACAAATCCAGGATGTGTCTGAGAGAATGTGGAGCCCCTGGCCAAATCAGGAAGGGCCTGGTCTGCATTTTAGAATGGTCTCTTTAGTAGGAGAAAAGGGGGTTGTCTGTCAAAAGGGGCAAGTCTGGAAACAGAGAGACCAGCTAAGAGGCTGATGAGATGGTCTAGAGGAGAGACGATGAGGTCTGAATCAAGTGGAACAGGAGGGATGGAGAGAAGATGCATCCCAGGGATACTTTGACAGTGGAATGGGTGATGGGGAGCGTGGCAGAAAGAGGATCCAATATGACAGTTGGATTTCTGGATCAAGAAGCTGATGATGGCATGAGGTCTGTTGCAAAACTTCTAAAACCCAGAGAGGGCTCTTAGGGAGCCTTTAAGAAGCTTGTTTCCCTTTCATGGGACTCTGGAGCCTGAATTGGGGCCCAGATTCACATGAATGATGAGAAGGGAGCTTCCCTTCTAAGAGAGGAAGATTGAACAGATCCAGCAGCGGTGGGTTCCATTCAAAATTTAGTGTGGGCAACTATGTGAGTAACCTGTCCAACATTATCCATCCGTCCATCCATTCATGCACCCACCCACCCACCTAGCCAGCCAGTCATATGTCTATCCACCCATTCCTAAGAACATCAGTTGAGTTCCTCCTCAATGCTGAGCCAAGATTGGCTAGGCCAGCTCCCTCCTGATCTAATCCCTGAGTCAGCCTGGAGTGCTGAGGCAAGTCACTTTACCTATAAAATGGCAATCAGAGGGGCACCTGGGTGGCACAATCAGTTGGGCAGCCAACTCTTAAGTTTTGACTCAGGTCTTGATCTCAGAGTCATGAGGTCAAGCCCAGCATCAGGCTCAACACTCAGCATGGAGTCCACTGGAGATTCTCTCTCCCTCTCCCTCTGTCCCTCCCACTCCTGCTCTCTCTTTCCTTCTCTCAAATAAATGAATAAATCTTTTCTTTTAAAGATTTTATTTATTTATTCATGAGAGACACAGAGAGAGAGGCAGAAACACAGACAGAGGGAGAAGCAGGCTCCATGCAGGGAGCTCAATGTGGGACTTGATCCCAGGACTCCAGGATCACGCCCTGGGCCAAAGGAAGGTGCTCAATCACTGAGCCACCCAGGCGTCCCATGAATAAATCTTTAAAAAATAAAAATAACAAAATGGCAACCAGAAGCTCTTTTGCAGTGAGTTGAAGTCAATGAGCTAACTGACCCATCTCAGTGCCTACAAGAGTCCTGGAGCATGTGTTCTCTTCACATTCTTGTGCCCCTCTCCCTGTCCCTGAGATGGCTGCATTCCCAAGGTAATGGCCCCACTTCCTTTAAGTTCTCAGCCCTAATTCAGGTCAACAATTCCTCTTGGCTCACTGGTTGCCCTTTGATAGCTTGGGGGCCCCTGACTGAGCTGCAGTCCTATTCAATATCTCCTATTGACACAGACCCAGCCTTTCCTATCAAGGTAGATGGTCATTTCTGCACAGTTCCCTTTTAATGTGACAAAAGTTAACTAATTTGGGAGCGCCTGGGTGGCTCATTCAGTTAAGCATCTGCCTTTGATTCAGGTCATGATCCTAGGTCCAGGGATCCAGCCCCATGTCAGGCTCCCTGCTGAGCGAGGAGTCTGCTTCTCCCCTCCCTCTCCCCTTCTCCCCTCTCTCCACTGTGCTCTCTCCTCTCTCTCAAATAAATAAATAAAATCTTTTTAAAAATGTTAGCTAGTTTGTACTTAATTTGCAAAGCATTGTGGAGTTATCCTCTGGGCAGTGTTCACAATGGACTCTCTGTCAAAGTGGTTGAAAGCAGAGAGCAAGGCCACCCTGGGTTTGGATCCCAGCTCCACCACACTGTGGCTGTGTCAGTTTAGGCCACAAAACCCTCACGGAAGTGGGAAGGGGTGAGAGGCAGAGGAGAGGTGCAGCTGGGATTGTTTTTGGGTAGAGTGACCGTAAGTCCTGGTTTGCCTGGCCAACTCCTGGTGTAGGGCTGTTGGCTGAGAGTTCCTTTCCACTTAAAAAGTGCCCTGGTTTGGAAAATCAGCCATATGGTCTTATGGCTTGTTCTGGGAGATTCTGGAGAACTGAGGCAGGCAATCAGCCACTTGCTGCTTACTAGAAAGGTCTCCATTCATACAAAAAGGAAAATAAAAACAAGCGTGCTTCTTTTTTTTTTTTTTAGATTTTCTTTATTTATTCATGAGAGACACACACACAGAGAGAGGCAGAGACACAGATAGAGGAGAAGCAGGCTCCGTGCAGGAAGCCAGACATGGGACTCGATCGCAGGACTCCAGGATCACACCCTGGGCCGAAGGCAGGCACCAAACCGCTGAGCCACCCGGGGATCCCAACAAGCCTGCTTCTTTAACACATTGCTGTTAACAGAACACTGCCTCTCGTTCTTTTCTCTGCACCTCTTTAAGCTACTAGGTTTTATTGTCTATGAAAGACTGCCTCTTGCTCCTTTCCCACCTACCATTACATATTGCTTTCCCTGTGTATTTACAATCAGTGCCAATGTTGTTTTTAATGGTTGCATCATGTTCTGTCGTGAACCTAATTTATGTAGTGAACCCTTGGGTGTCCCAGAAACACTTCAAATCGGAGGGAGCGATTTGGGTAAGATTGGGGTTTGTGCATGGGTGGGAGGGGTGCTGCTGAACCAGGGAAGTTCTTGTGTCAGAATCGTCCTTGGGCTCACAAACCTGTTAAAATCACATTGGACTAGAGGCTGTCTGGGTCCAAGCACTCCCATCCACAGCGGGTCCAGGGACCTCAAACACAAGCCCTCTTCCTTTCCCCTGCCCTGCTCTCTGGTCAGACCTGATGCAGGAGCAGCAGTATCCAAGGTGCTCCTAATGAACCAGGAGTGCTTCTTTTTAATAAAGCTAGGAATTCTGATAATTTTTAAGCCTACCTGCCCTGCTCTCACGGAGCTTGGGGTTTTGTGAAGGACGCAGTTATCCATCAAATGCACTATAGGAGATAGAATTATAAAATGCTATGGACAGTGGCTGCTTCTGAATGTATTTGGGAGGGTGGCTGCTAGAGCACTAGTCAAAGCACCAAAATTTGGGAGCTGACCAGAGTTGTTTTCAGGACGCCTGAGAGCTGCCCCTCTGTTCACCTCAACCTCCTTCTACTCACTTTCTGCCTCCTCTCAGTCTGTGACAGACTCTGCATGTCCCCCGAGTGATGACTCCTGCCCTGTCTGTCCATTTGCACTCTGGCTATGGCCTCCCCCAGATGGGAGAGCCTGGAGCCTGGATGATTGGCAGATGTCTCACATTGAGAAATGGCACCCAGGAAGAGGAGCAGTTTTGGAAGGAAGATGCCAAGATCCATCTGTACAGACTGTGTCTGAGGTACCTCTGGCATGAGCAGGTGGATCTGTGGGTCTGAAGCACACTATGTGCTCCTTACCCCAAATAGGGCCTCCTGCATGTTCCCAAGCCTTGATGAGCAGCATGCGGTCCGCTCATCAGAGCCAGAAATAGAGCAGGCTTCTTTGACGTCCTTCTCCCCCTCCTCCCCCTCCTGTCTCTCATCTCTCACCCAGCATTCCCCATTTCCCTTCAGCAGGAGCTCCCTAATCCTTTTGCCACCTCTCTGGTCCCATCCACCATCTCTCACTGAATGCTCTCCCTGCTTCTGCCCTTATGTCCCCCAATCCAGTTTCCAAAATAGCAGCCAGCCAGCTTTTCAAAATCAGTTCTATGTCACCCCTCTCTTTTCAAACCTGCCGCTGCTAGTACTAAGACCAGTGTCCTGGCACAGCCCTGGGGCCCAGAGTGACTTGGCATCCTGCTTGCCCCCAGGGCCTCAGGTGTGGCCTGTGAAGATACACCGCCCCCCCCCCCCCCACTGCCAGGGAGAATAGGCACCAGCACACAGAGGAGAGATAAGGCTAAGGGCTGAGCCCAGAGGAGCACCCACATGTGGAAGAGGGCAAAAAAAAGGGGGTTTCCCACTTGGAAACCAACAGATGTGACAGGGATTGGGTAGAAGAGCAGAAAAGCAGGTGCCCCAGAAGCCAGAGTCACCCTTGTTTGGAGAGAGATACCCTGATCAGTTGGGCCAGATGCTGCAGAGATGTCAGGTAATGTGAGAACAGAGCGGGTTTAGTGACCTGGCAAGCTGTCCTGGGGTAGTACAGGGGGCGGGGACAACTTGTAATGGGGTTGGGAAGGAGCAGGAGGTGGGAGCTGGGACAGCACAACCAACACAAATGTGACAGACTGACAGAATTTGGTCACGCCAATGAAAACAGCTTCCCTGGGAGCAGCATAACTGCTGAGCAGAGAAGAGAAGATCCCAAGAACAAGTGCTTGGGCCAGAATGGAGCAAGCTGTGGAAGTTGGCACAGCCGGCAGTTTCTGTAATCCTCAGCTAAGTTCCATCGGCTCCTTAAATATACAGTTTGCTGCCTGTAAGTTTTCTGCAGGACCTAAATTTTGAGGACAATCAAGAGAAGAAAAACTTACATTCCAGACCATCCCTCCATGAACTGGGTTTTTTTGAGAACTAATGACCAGTGTAATCCCACAA